TATATATATATATATATATATATATATATAATTAATATGTATGGTTTTAACAGTGTAACAGATGCTTGCGTAAAAAGCATATAAATATTAGTTATTATTTTATACATTTGAAGTCAGAATTATTTGACCCCTTTTTTAATTTTTAAGTTAACTTGGCAGGTTAGGGTAATTAGGCAAGTCATTGTATAATGATGGTTTTTGTTCTCCATTGAAAACAAATAGCTTAAATGGGATAATAATATTGACCTTAAAATGGTTTTAAAAAAAATTAAAAATAGTTTTTTTTCTAGCCGAAATAAAACAAATAAGACTTTCTCCAGAAGAAAAACATTATCAGACACACTGTTAAAAATTCCCTTGCTCTGTTCAACATCATTTGGTAAATATATATATATATATCAATAAAAATTCTGACTTCAACTGTATTTCTAAATTTTAACAGAAGAAGCAAGCATAAAAACATTTCAATATTAGTTATTATTCTATTTTTCCCCCAAAAAGTTATTATTTTATCATTTTATTTATTTAGGAAAAAGTTTTACAATTTGGTGTAGCCTCTGACAATAACATTGCCAAAAAGTAAAGTAAATGCTTGCAATATAAAGAAATGGAAATATATTTAACAGTTTATCAGATGCCTGCATACAAATCATATAAATATTATTCATTAATCTATATTTTAGCAGTGTATCAGATGCATGCATAAAAAAATTTAAATATTAGTTATTATTCTATATTTGTGTAGCAGATGCATATATAAAATATAACAATAATTAATTAGTATAATTTTAACAGTGTGGCAGATGCAAGCATGAAAAACATATAAATATCAGTTAATATTCTATATTTCCTCAAAATATGTTTTCCTGACTTTCCCATTAGTTACAAAAACTGTGTAAATCAGTATTTTCTGATTGGTCAAACATCCAGTTTTAATGTAGGCTAGTGTTATACATAGTGAACTACATAAATTGGACTACACAGCATGATTAGTATTTTATTCTATACATATCTATTATTTAAACAGGATTATTTGAAGAGTTATTTTGGAGAAAAGTGACCGTAAGATGTAGTTTCTTTACTATAAATCACACAATGCCTTCTATAAATCCTGTAACAGCAGAGTATTATGCTATTGCTTTGAACATATTTAATATTTACAGGAGCGGAAAAAAAAATTGTAAAAAATATTCGAGGAATAGGTCTTGACAGCTGATGAAAAATAGCATTTTGACTAACTCTGGTCCTTTTATAGCAATGCTAATTAGTATAAGACATATTGCTTGGAACTTAAAGGTTGTGGGTTTGATTCCCAGCCCTACTGAAAAAAACCCCCCAGCTTAAAACAGCCTAGGCTGGTTGGCTGGTTTTAGCTGGTCAACCAGGCTGGTTTAAGAGGGGTTTTGGCCTTTTCCAGGGTGGTTTCCAGCAATTTCCAGCCTGGTCTTAGCTGGTCAGGCTGGGAGATGACCAGCTAAAGCCAGCTTGACCAGCCTAGCCAGGCTGGGAGCCCAGCCAAAACCAGCTTAAACCAGTCTGGTCAAGCTGGCTTTAGCTAGATTTAGATGGTCATTTTCCAGTCTGACCAGCTAAGACCTGGCTGGAAATGGCTAGAAACCAGCCTGGAAATGGCCAAAACCCCTCTAAAACTAGGCTGGTCAAGGCTGGTAAACTAGCCTAGGCTAGTTTAAGCTGGATTTTTTCAGCAGGGAGGGAAAGCAAACACTTATAAAAGTGGATTAAAATTTGAATTTTGCCTAACTTTAGTGCTTTTGCTGTTTCCAAATAAACCAATGAATAAATAAGTATAGGATATATTGCTAGGAACAGGAAAGTTGTGGGTTTGATTCCCAGGGAAAGCAAACACTTATAAAAGTAAATAAAAAATAGCATTTTGGCTAACTCTGGTGCTTTTGCAGCAATGCTAATTAGTAGCCTATGTCCTATAAACCAATAAATAAAAAAGTATAGGACGTTTTCCAGGAAAAGCAAATATTATTTACTTTCAGTGCAGTGCGAGTCGCTTTGGATTAAGTCGTCTGGTAAATGCAAAAAAGTAAAATAAACAAACCTGGCGTTGAGCAGTGAACGCAGTGGCCACAAGATGGCGTCCTCTCTCTGTTTTCTACACATTGGGCCATTAGTACCCAAGCGATTCCTGTATTGGCCAGAAAGTGCTTCTCTAACCTCTCCATCTCTCTCTAGCATCAGACAGTCCCGTTCAGTGGTTTTGCAGTGAGAAATAAGCGCTGTGTTCGCTTGCAGTAGTACATGAAGCTCTCTTTATGTGTGTCTTAATGTCACTCACTGTTGTTCTCCCTCTTCTTTGTTCCCTTGTCTTTCTCTCCTGCTTTTCCTCCCCTGTGGAAATGCAACAGGAGGATAAAGTGGTCAGCATCCCCTTTCTTTCTTGTCTATGTTTTTTGATATTCAACTTAGATGTACAGTACTTACTGTAGATACATTGCACACCTTAATTAAAGGTGCTGTAAGCGATCTATTGTTTCTCTTATGGAGTAGTATGCATCTATTGGGGCTTGCGCCAGTGGTAAGGAATTAAGACATGGATGTTTATGGTTGCACAGTGATGAATTTTTTTTATATTGTTTTAATATTTATTTGTTTAAAATGTTAATGAAATAATGCATTCATTCATTCATTTTATTTTTTAAAATATAGTTATTTATTTTATTAGGATGGCAGTTAATTAGTATAATTATATAATAATTAGCAAAAAAAATCATTTTTTTTTGTAAATGTGACATTAATCTCGTTGTTATAAAGTTTGTCAACCTTTTTTTGCTAATTTTAATTAATTAATAATTAATATAATATTTGTAGAAATGCTTTAAATATCTGTGTATTTGTTTTTTAGTTATTTATTAAATGTTTTTATTTGTTTGTTTTGACAGTAATATTTATATAATTATATAATAAATTAAATAGTATGATATAATTTATCATATATATATATATATA